GCATTCCCAGAGCAATGTTTGTACTTGCAAGCCTGAAACCCTCCAGGAGCCCCGGGGGCTTCGTGTTCGCTTCTGCAGAGGCTTGTGCTGTCCTGGTACTGGTGTGCAGCAAGTAAATTGGGGGTCATGCAGCTCCAGGAAGTTTGTTTTTAAGCTGTGCGAGGTTCCCGAGTAAATACAGGGATCACCTTTCACTCCCTTCCTAATCCTGCTTGCGACAGCACCACCCACAAAGCAGGAGACCCAGCACATCTTGGGCGATAACCTCTAGGGCTGCTCATTTTATGAGCTGTATGTAGGGCTCTGATCCTGCTTTTGTTCCTTCCTCTCTCTTGCAGAGCCTCCCCAGGTCTTCCCAACATGATGTGTCTCTCTAAGTGTCTGTCCATCCTCACATCTCCTCCCATGGCTGATGTCTGTGGTAGGATCTTCATCGCTGCTATGTCTGAAAACATGAATGTCTATGTTTGCTTGGATCACATCTCAGTCCCTTCTTCTGCTGAGCCAGGGGGTCCTGAGGTCCAGTCCCTTCTCCAGCTTCTAGTTTTATCCAACGACAGAGGATTTCACAGTCGAGGGGATGTATACAGGCTTGCTATGGGCTTCTCTGTTATTGCTGGATCACATGAAGCCACCAAAGAGTTTGGAAGGCAGCTGAGTCTTCTGGATCCACACCTTTGGATCTGGGGAAATAACTTCTGACCTAGCAGGAACCAGGTTTCTTGGGACATCTGACCACACAGTTCACATTTTGCCAGCTCCAAGATAGGAAAATGAGTTCCTTGGCCCATCATTCCCTTGGTCCCGGGGCTATCTGGCTCCAGACCATGGATGGTGCCTTAAGCAAGTCTGTATGAATTGAAATAGTGACTGCAAAAGTCCAAGTCTCAGTCCTAAGTCACTGATAGGGAGGCTTCTGGGAAAGAAACACCTTCCTTTAAGAAGGATCTGCTGGTCCAGCTTCAAACGTAGCAGGGACTGTCCTACTGTGCACACATAGCACAGCAGGAAATCATCTTCCATGCTGGGATGCAGTGTCTTCATCTAGTAACAAGTCTTCCCAGGGGCCAGGAACATCTTCCCAGTTGGACTCGATGATCCTTATGGGTCCCTTCCAACTCGAGACATTCTGTGATTCGGTGTTGGTGGGTATGCATTGCCTTTTAAAGTTCAGTGGGCAAATAATCATTGAGAAGAGGTTGCGGATACCGTGGAGGAAAACTGAGATGCTTCAGTCACTGTCAGATTGAAACCAGGTGGTAAAGCAGAGCTAGTCTGGTCCTCATCCCATGAAAGCACCAACCCACTGCTTGGTAGAAAGAAGTAAGGAGGATGATGCGGGGAAAGAGAAGAGCCATGGTCATGTTGAAAAAGTTTGACCCAGTCTCCTCCCCAGCAGAAAAGTGGCTTTTGAGGGTTCCGATGTTCTGCGAACAAGGTGAGCATCCCCTGGAAGCAAAGAGGGACCTGCCTCAGTTCCTGTGTAACTGCACCGGTGTAAGTTTGGTCTGCCCATGGGAAACATGCCTGGTGGGCAACTTTCAGTTGGTGGCTTGTTTTGGATGAGAGGAGATGGCAGGGTAGAGGATGAACTGGTGGTGTACATAGAGAGCTGCAGGCCTGATTCAGCTTTGCTGGTTGAAGTAGCTGGTTCTCACTCAGTTAGCGGCAGCAAGGTCTTCTCCTTCCAGCTGATGTCTTGGCCAGGGGAGCATGACTGCAGTAGGAGGAACTCATTTCAAAGGCTGCAAAAGAAATGCAGCCCCAGGAGCCGTGTAAAATGAACCAAACCCTGTCAATGTGTGATCTTTCCTGCCAGGCATTTAACATCAACCGTATCGCCCTAACAAAGCACAATGAGAAGAATTTGAAACCAAACTCTCCTCCCCTTGTCAGCGCTGCCATAAATCACTTTCCTCCTGTGCACTTGTCTGCAGGCTGAACCATTCCTTGCCAAGGCTGTAACCCTGCGAGAATGAAAATGCAGTGGAGAATCCTCAAAAAGAAGCAAGAGTCCTATTTTCTCATGTGCATCTCATTTTGTTACTTCTGTTGCACAATCTGTTGTCTAAGGTCCGTAATTTAAAAACAAAGTTTGTGTAAGAAAGCTAGAGCTGAATTTGTGTCCAAGGGCTGGAATTTCTCTTTCAGTGGGATAAAAGCTTGGGAAATGTCAGTAGTGTTCTCTGGTCCCATCTAGGTGGACAGAGCCTGCTCAGGATAGCCCTTTGCTTCTGCTGCAGGACAAAGTGCCTGCACTGGCCATGGGGAACCTCGTGGAGCTGCTGCGGCACACCAAGTACTTGATGCATCCTTAAATCGTGCCGGCCTTTAATAACTGAAACCGCCACGACTGGATTTTTAAATTCAGATTTGTCAGCTTTTATTGTGTTATTTACTACAGCTAGATAAGCTGCCAAGGCTTGGGCAATCCTCCTTGCTTGGGAAAAATGTTCACTGGAAGCTTATTTATGGGAGAGTAGACCAAGACACTGCATGGCGTGGGTAAGCAAGGTGTGCAGCCCCGCGGGGAGGTCTCCAGTGCTGTAAGTGGCTCACAGCTGGGTGTGAAGCAGGTGTTTTCTTGCCTTACCTATTGCAAGAGCTGCAGATTGAGAAATAAAATGGCAGCGTGGATTGCCAGCATGATTTCTTCCTGCCCTCCAGCAAACCAGCCCCACTGGGACATCCCTCCATGTCTGAGATCTAGCAGGGGCTTGCTGGGGGGTGGCCAGACCTGGGGAACACAGTGCTGCTTGGGGACCCAGGTCCTTTGGTTCAGAGTACGTCAGAGGCTGCCCCAGCCTCTGTCCCTTCCTTGGCCAGCTGGGACGTGTGGTCGATTCGCACCAAGGACCTGCATCCCCATGGGGCAGCGATGTCCAGCCCACGGGGGTGTTAACCAGAAGCCGTATGCAGAGAGCCCTGATTCCCTTTTGCCTCACTACAGCCTTTTGCTTCCCCTTGTAGGGGTTATTAACCCCACCGGCACAGGGTTTCCAACCCCATCCACTGGATGCGGCATCGGGGCAGGGGCGTTTCTGCCCACTGCCCATCCTGCCTGCTGCCAGGCAGAGCACAGGCTTGTTGGGCATCACACCTCTTCCCTGGTATGTTTTGCTGCATGGAGACAAATTTGTACAGAAAAGCTGAAGTTAGTGGTCAAAACAGCTGCTGTGGGGAAGCGCTTGTTATAACAAAGTGAGCGTCATGGGGTTTCTGCAGAATAAACTGAAAAGACAGGGCTGTTAGCGAGCGGGTCAGGCATTGCCTGAAAAATGAGCTCAGCAGCATGTTGGGCTCACAGGGAGGATGGGAGACAAGCAGAGGAGATGTTGGCTTGCTTGAGCTTTTCTATTGGTGAGGCTGAAATTCTGTCTCTTGCCATTGAGTGGCAGATAAAATGGCTCGGCTAACTCTGACGGGGGGGGAAAAGGCTCTTCTTCACATTGCATCCTGACCCCAGACCTGGCAAATTTGGGGATGGGAGTGGAAAAAGAGAGATGGGAAAACAGGATGCCTTTTTTTGCCACCCATAGGCCAGTGATAGCCACCTGTCCCTGCAAGCAGTGCTCCTGGGACAGGGTTAGGAAATCGGGAAGCTGACAGCCGAAAGTAGCTCTTTTTATCTTAGCAATGTTAATTTTCACACTGCTTTCAAGCCCTATGCCTGGTCAGACCGATGCTGGACCCCGAAGATCCTGGGGGTCCTCTGGCAGGACGGCTTGGGCAAGGTGGGAGGAAGGGAGCGCCCAGGGAGCCTCTCCCACGGGTGCAATGCACCCTCTCGTGGCGAGCGGCCACGGCGGGTGCTGGGGCAGGGCGTGGGTGTTGGTGGGTGCCCGCTGAGCAGGGCTCTGCTCCTTGGCGTCATACCATGGTGGACGTAGGGACCTGCCAGCCCTCCCATGCGGAAACTGTTCAGGGAGCTGGGATTTGGTTTGTCCAGGCTCAGGGCACCCCGAGGTAGGCTCCACTGTTTCCCACAGGGTCCCCCCACCTCTCCCCCCTGCTTTAAGCAGAGAAAAGCAATAATTTTGACAAAATACTTGAAGCTGGCTTCCTCTCAGCCGGGATCAACCTGCCTTTCTCCCTCTGACACTTTTCCTCCCTGTGAGGAGCCTGCAAAATAAATCAGTGCTTTGCATAAACAAAGTCCTGGAGAGGTATTAGCAAAAAAACAGTGCTCAGGAGCTTCACAAATGCAGTTATTTCCATGGCAGAAAAGCAGAAGTTTTGTTTGTTTTTTTTTTTCTCTGTAACCCCTTAACTCAGGGAGGTATTTCTCCATCTGGCCACCCGATTTCCCCCCCCCACTGCCACCTGGGAGCCAAATCTGTTTGCTGAAAGGTGCCTCCCCTTCCTCTCACCCCTTCAGGGGGACTTGAATTAAAACCCCAGTCGCTTTCCCTGCGGGAAGGCTGTGCTGCCAGTACTGGTGGCTTTTCCAGCCGCATCCCGCAGCCTCCCACGGGGGCACAGCAAGGGGGGGC